ATCAATCTCGATCATCACTAATGACCCACTCCAGGTGTGCAGCAGTGTATTTTTCTCCAGAGACTCCACCCTCTGCACACATTTAAGGGTACTGTTTGCGGTGGAAACGCTAGGGTCTAGGTACCATGTCTGAGGGGTTACTTTTGGTTCCAAAGGTACGATACCGAAAGTGTTTGGTGGAAACAGAGCTAAACTCTAAGCATAAATCCTGCACAGAATACCTTTAAACAATTTCCTGTCCATCCACTGCAAAGGAAGCTGTATGGATTGAGATGCCAGATCATGTTGATGTTCTCCTCAGTAAGCATCATTAGATACAGAATTACAGCATGGCTAGACAACCTAACAGTGCATCTGAAAAGCAGGCTTGCCAGAATTAAAAACAGCTATGAAGGTAATAGGTAGGAAAGAATCTCACGGTGCCTGTACGAGCAGGGAGTCATGAAACAAGCATCAACAATCATCGTGGACTGTCAACATCCCCTCCTCTCTGGATACGAACTATCAAGAGGGCTGTGTGCCAAAGTGCAAATCAAACTGCTTGAAGCAATCATTTGTTAGAACTTCCATCAAACCGCTGAACTCCGATGTTAAATCTTAGTGCAACAGAACAATGTGCAATAAATACACAAGCACTTTAGCACTTAGCACTTTAATGGTTCCTTTACAGCCATCCTGCTGTAAATGTCAAATGTCTCTCATGTTTAAAGGTGTTTTTTCATGTTGTGTTTGTGAAGTTCTTTATGTGGAACAACAGACTGTAGCACTGTGCCCAAGAGAAATGTCCCCTCAGAGACAATAAACTTTACTCTACTCTACTACTAATCAATTAACGGATCATTTTAGCTCCAATGGACGCACTCTCTCTGTGTGGGAACCAAATTTAACCTCAAACTGTCGTAACTGACACAACACATACAAACATTTTCACACAACCATAACGTCCAATTTAAAACTGGAGCATCCCTGGATCTGAGCAGATAAAAGATCAGATACCAGATGAGATCAGTGCTGGGAAAAAAAAAAATCAATAGATGACTCCTTCAGTTTAATAAAGCACATACAACCCTCTGACATTTCATTAAAAAAGGACTGACTGATGTGGATCAGGTTGGTAGCTGTGACAGGGAATCACATCACCGCTGTAATGTCATGCCCCGGCTCGGTCTCTGGAGGTTTGAAAATAAACACAAAAGCAAAATTGAAGTAGGGGATATGAGACTGGAGACCTCTCAGAAGATTATATCAAATCTGAGGAGACTTATCAGTTTCTCCTCCGCTCACATCTGCCCGTGACCGTCTGTTTTGGAACATGTGTCCTTGTTTCTGCCTTTCTCTGCCAAATGCAGATTGATTCTGTGTGAGACGGAAATTCTCATTCTCTATGCTCTTTATCCTGGTTCAAATGAAAAAAAACAATGATTTGCTTACTCATTTGCATTCATATATGTATCCCTTGTGCGCTTATGTCTAGACGCCGAACTCACACACCTGTTTAATCCTGATACGTCTCCTTCAGATGACATATTTGTAAAATAAAGCCGGAAAGCTGATAATGTCAGGAATTATGAAACATTTTCACCCTTCTTTCACTAACACCTACAAAACCTGAAAAAAGACACAGGCTGCATCTTGTACTTGTATTCTAAGAGATAAGCAGTGGAGAGGATTAGAAAGACAAAGTGGTAGATTTCCCCTGATGGTCGCTCGCCCACCATTTCCAAGATCTTTATTGCCGATCTAATAACGTCCGAGAGAAGTGAAATTCATAATTAGTTCCCTTGGACTATAAGTCATATACTCCGTGGGAAGGAAAACACCATTCCCTGCCCTTGGGAAGCATGAGGGGACATTGTGGACAGCAATAAGTGGACTAAGAATAGAATAGGGCATTATTATGTGTGACACAGGTAGGTGCTGTGTAAGGGAAGTCATTCAATATCATTTCAAAATGGGAGGATGACAAGTCAGTCTGAATTTCTTTATTATAGGTTTGCATTTTAAATAAGTGGTCTTTGATGGAATGTATGCAATTATGTTGTACAATTTGTATAAGTATGGTACGGTCATGGTCAGTAGAGATCACTTCTGCTACTTTGTACTTCTACTCCACTACATTAAACAGGCTACACTACAGTACATTTATGTGAAATCAAAAGTTGCTTAAAATTTTTATACATAAAATTTGATGATTTGTTATAAGTTAAGAAGGTAAAATTAGCTCGATCTCTAGCCCAGTCGCCAGGAGAAAATGTTGGAGTACGTTTTGGCAAAACACATGTATCATTTATATGTATCATATCAATGTTTCTAAAGTGTGGTAGTATATGAGCTAACTTTGTCACAATGAAGTGGAGGGGATGGTGGATGGTATGTCACCTAGAGGAGACTTTAGTTTTTAGGTTTCAAATGTAGGTGTTTTGTAGTGACCCATCTATGTTTTTTCAGCAGCTTTTTAGACTCCAAACTTGGGTGTTTTGTAGCAACCCATTAGGTCTTTTTCCAGAAGCTTTTTAGGCTCCAAATATGAGTGTTTTGTAGCAACCCATCAGCTGTTTTTCCAGCAGCTTTTTAGACTCCAAACTTGGGTATTTTGTGTGTGACCTGTCAGTGTTTCAATCAGCTTTTTAAGCTCCAAACTTGGCTGTTTTGTAGCAGCCTGTCAGTGTGTTTCTAGTGGCTTTTAAGCTCTATACATGGGTGTTTTGTAGCCACTCATCAGGTGTTTTCCAGCAGCTTTTTAGACTCCAAACTTGGGTGTTTTGTAGCAACCCATTAGGTCTTTTTCCAGAAGCTTTTTAGGCTCCAAATATGAGTGTTTTGTAGCAACCCATCAGCTGTTTTTCCAGCAGCTTTTTAGACTCCAAACTTGGGTATTTTGTGTGTGACCTGTCAGTGTTTCAATCAGCTTTTTAAGCTCCAAACTTGGCTGTTTTGTAGCAGCCTGTCAGTGTGTTTCTAGTGGCTTTTAAGCTCTATACATGGGTGTTTTGTAGCCACTCATCAGGTGTTTTCCAGCAGCTTTTTAGACTCCAAACTTGGGTGTTTTGTAGCAACCCATTAGGTCTTTTTCCAGAAGCTTTTTAGGCTCCAAATATGAGTGTTTTGTAGCAACCCATCAGCTGTTTTTCCAGCAGCTTTTTAGACTCCAAACTTGGGTATTTTGTGTGTGACCTGTCAGTGTTTCAATCAGCTTTTTAAGCTCCAAACTTGGCTGTTTTGTAGCAGCCTGTCAGTGTGTTTCTAGTGGCTTTTAAGCTCTATACATGGGTGTTTTGTAGCCACTCATCAGGTGTTTTCCAGCAGCTTTTTAGACTCCAAACTTGGGTGTTTTGTAGCAACCCATTAGGTCTTTTTCCAGAAGCTTTTTAGGCTCCAAATATGAGTGTTTTGTAGCAACCCATCAGCTGTTTTTCCAGCAGCTTTTTAGACTCCAAACTTGGGTATTTTGTGTGTGACCTGTCAGTGTTTCAATCAGCTTTTTAAGCTCCAAACTTGGCTGTTTTGTAGCAGCCTGTCAGTGTGTTTCTAGTGGCTTTTAATTTCTAAACATGGGTGTTTTGTAGCCACCCATCAGGTGTTTTTCCAGCAGCTTTTTAGACTCCAAACTTGGGTATTTTGTGTGTGACCTGTCGGCGTTTCAATCAGCTTTTTAAGCTCCAAATTTGGCTGTTTTGTAGCAGCCTGTCAGTGTGTTTCTAGTGGCTTTTAATTTCTAAACATGGGTGTTTTGTAGCCACCCATCAGGTGTTTTTCCAGCAGCTTTTTAGACTCCAAACTTGGGTGTTTAGTAGCAACCCATTAGGTCTTTTTCCAGAAGCTTTTTAGGCTCCAAATATGAGTGTTTTGTAGCAACCCGTTGGTGTTCCTATCAGCTTTTTAGGTCCTAAAATATGTGTTTTGTAGTAACCCATCTGGTGTTTCTCTAGCAGCTTTTTAGGCTCCCAGCATGGGTGTTTTGTAGTGACTCATCTGTGTGATTCCAGTAGCTATTAAGGCTCCAAATTAGGGTGTTTTGTAGCAACCCATCAGGTGTTTTTCTAGCAGCTTTTTAGGCTCCCAATGTGGGCATTTCATAGCAACCTATTGATGTGTTTTCATTGTTATTTTTAGGCTCCAAAGAAGGAGTTTTTGTAGCAACCTGTCGGTGCATTTCCAGTGCAGACATTGCCACAAAAAGCATTTTTTTCTTTTTTTTTGCTATTTTTGTTTTTTACCATGCCAACACTGCATTTTCAGCAGTAATTGTGCCCCCAAAACCAGGTATTTTAGTCCAAAACATGATCTTTTCCTAACCGTAACAAAGGGGTTTTTGGGCCTAAACCAAACCACACATTGAAACCTATAGTTTCAACATATCTGCTGCACAATAATGTGCACATGTAACGTACGTCTGTGGTTTGTAGAAACAATGTCAACATTTTTTCTGGCCATTGAGTTACCATCTAAACAAACTACAACAGTAAAATATCAGCAAAAATAATTAAATAATCAATCAATTAATATTCAACAATGCAACACAGAATGGGGCAGTACTGATGCACTATGAGTACTCACTTCATTTTAAGTAGATTTTTCTGATAATACTTCTGCATTTAGGTAAGATTTTTGAATGCTGATCTTTCACTTGTGATTAAGTTTTTTTTTTTTTTTTTGTTTTTTTTTTACTTAGTATCATTACTGCTTTTACTTGGGTAAAGGATCTGAATACTTCCAATCATGGCAGAGACTCAGACTAACAGAAGGTAGACTGGATTGTGTTTGAATTAATAATTAAGAACAAGAAAAGACAACAAAAAATAAACTGTAGTGAAGTGTTAATGATCTGCAGAGATCTTCTCCCTTCCCTGAAAGACTTCTCCAAAGGCATTAGGAAATTCGTTTATAAAATACAGGCACTTCAACTCCAGCACCTTCCTCTCGGAGGTCAGAGCGGTGCACACATTCTCCCTCACAAGGTGGGAGGAGCGTGTTGCACCGGGACGCGGCGCGATGCAGCAGTCCCGTCCAAACCTCCAGGTCCTCCTCCAGCAGCCGGACCTCTCGTACACCTGTGGTGTCACTTTCAACAACGCGACGCTTGGATTAACAAAAATCAAATCAAATCAATCAAATATGAGCAAAGCCACTTGGAGAAGGAGCGCCGGTGCGACATAAGGTAAGAAAACGCTCCGGGTACCTCAAGAAAATTTAAGTTAAAAGAGGTTTTTGATATAAAAAATATGTGATTTTTTTAGATTAAATGTTTGTTTTTTCTCTTTTACTGCTCGTGCGTAATGGATGCCATCAGGAGCAGACGCGTATGCTTCAGGTGCGTCAATTATATTCTGGATGATAAACAAAATTATCGAGATATTTAGATGTGCAGTGATAACCTACATTTACTCTACATGACCTCCATACAGAATGTGCAACAAAGCATCCCTCTGAATTCTCTACTTAATGTTTTTCTTTTCCTAAATTAACTTTTGAGTAATGACATTTATTTTGAATAGAAAAGCACAAAGGGAGCTCCTTTTGCAACTTAACCCGCTTTATATTTTGCAGGACAAAGGGGCTCTTGCAGGATATTACGATGCATCTCACAGCGGTGGTCTTAATTCTGGTCGTGACAGGCATCGCCAAAGGTAATGTGAGATTTTGATCAGCCCACAGAGACAACTGGCAGAGACGCACAATTTGAGATGTGAAGATGTGAAAAAACCCCAACTCTTTTCTGAACCGATTTACTCTGTGTGGAAAGAAAGTATAACGGATGAATATTTTATTGCGCTGAATGTTTTATGTGTGTTTTGATTTTTGATGCAAACAGCTGCTGTCCCTTTCTGTCTCTCTCAAAAGGTTGGGAATGCAGCGCGGGGTGCAACACAGAAAATGGGTTTTGTGAGAAGCCAGGGAAGTGCAGGTACTAAAACGACTCCAGATTCCTGTGTAGATGATAGCCTATATACCCTGTGGGCTTTTTGCAACCCTATTTCCATAAAACGCTGGAGCTGTAAATGTTCCTCCCTCAGAGAAATGCAATCAAAATTCAGCCAACTGGATCCTTCTGCTTTTTTTGTCTGGATTTGTTTGGCACTTGTGTTAAGTCAACTGCCAAATCAGCTCTTTGTTTGAGCAGTAAAAAGCATTGTTATCCTAACAGATAGCTCAAAAGCTTCTGGTTAAAAAGCATGCCCAGTTTGAACTATTTCATTGGCAAATGTTACTGTATCTACTCTTGAGCTAAAATGAGCTAAAATTAATCCGTCATTTCACTTTAAGAGACAAAGCATGCAGACATTATGGGGACATGAGCAGGACTGCAAAGCTCTGTGGGTGGTATATTTATAGTTCACGATTGCTCCCTTTTCCCCTCGTTCAGGTGCAAGCCAGGGTGGCAAGGAGAGAACTGTGACCAGTGTGTGCCCTTCCCCGGCTGTCTGCACGGCACATGTGAAAAGGCATGGCAGTGTGTCTGCGAGGAGGGCTGGGTGGGCAGCCTGTGTGACCAAGGTGAGTCTAATTCAGCTCCCCTGACACTCATATCTTGACCTAGCCTTCTAACACTTTCTGACATAGCAGAGGTGAGGCTGAGTCACACAGCCCCAGGGACACACAGGTTGCCACCGAATGAGGCCGGTGTCTGGAGAATATTTTTATAACAGGCAAAGTTAGAGTAGGCAAAATCCGACTGAGGCAAAAAATAATCACGGGTGTGTGATGAAAGCTGAGGCCACAAAGTAACTGCAGAAATATTCATTATAATCTGCTGCTTTTGTGCTACTGAGCAAGATAAATGATACTTTAAAAATTCTGTATCAGGGCTGCAAAAATATAAACGTTAAAGCAATCTACAAGTCACATTCCCACTTTGGACACCCTTATTCAAATCGAGCATTAAGCAATAATTCCCATACCATCTACAATGAACATTATCGCATGCAAAGAAATGACTTGCTGCCCCTCAAGCGATTGAAAAAACAAGAGGAGAAGATTAAAAGAAGAGAGATTTTCCGGGCTTCTGGCTCAGCTTGACCTCCTTATCAACACACACAGTAAATTTCTTGTTCTGTTGGAGCATATGAGCTGCTCGCCTGTGTGACGTGGTCGGTTGTGTTCTCACTTTTGTTCGTGGTGACAAGATGGTGCGGCGGGGAGTGTGAGTGTGAGAGTGGAAACAATGAAGAGGAGGGAAAAACAGGCAGGGAGACAGGAAGTGAGAAAGAGAGAGCACACACAAGATCTAAAAACAGCATGCTTGCTTTCTTCTTTTTTTTTTTAACAACAGATACTCGCCTGTGCTCATCCAGGCCTTGTGCCGGTAATGCCACCTGCATAGAGACAGGAGAGGGGGGATACCTGTGCATCTGTCCCCAGGGCTATGCAGGTGAAAACTGCCACTTGAAGAGAGGACTCTGTCTCGCAAACAGGTACCAGCACATTTTACTTCTATTTTAAGCAAAGGGATACTCCAGTGCTTTGCAGCCTTATCTCCATTTGTCTATCATTAGGAGTAACAATCAATACATGCTCCATAAACTGTCAGCTCTCTGTGTCGCTAAGGCAGCCAATCAAAACCACCCCACACAATGGCTCATGTATATGTGCCTCCTAGTAGTACAGCAGGCAGTAAGCAAAGACAATATTGGATTTTTCCATACTGCACAAACTGTACCTGGTTGCTGTTTGTATTTTGGTTGTTGTGATTTGCAAGAGGGAAGAGGGTGCTCGCATTTGTAAGACAAGCAGAGACGCTTACTTTGATACCCCACAACTCCCCCACAAACAGGAGCACGCTAAAATGTGGGAACTGGCATGTTTCCAGCTTTGTGAAGGAAAACTCCACTTGAACCACGCTCCAGCTCATTATTGCTGTACTAGATGCAAAGTCAACTTTACTCTGAGGACTGACTTTTCTGCTGCGGAGCTCATAAAAGGCAAAGAACATGGTGTTGCTGGTGAACAGAAGCACAAAAAAAAAAAAAAAAAAAAAAAAGGCAGTGCAGCAATCCCAGGCAGGGGGAACACATTATCAACATATCACCTTTTGAATTTATATGCTGAAGCTGTTAGCACTAGTTACTTATTCACACATCCAGTAGTTACAAAGCAACATTATGATTCATTTGGAGTAGGGCTGGGTGATATGGACAGAAATTCACATGTCGCTATATTCAGGCTGACTGACTATACATGATATATATCTCAGTATTTTCTACAAAATGGGCTACATGTTCATTTGCAATTCAAAGCCACATTTGAGATGTCACAAGCACTTTTATAAAAACAGACTGTGATCAAAATAAAATGCAAAGACAGGGATTTTATTCCCTGTTTCAAAATATACAGCTGCACAACATGTGAAAGAAAAATGATATTAAATAAAAAGCAGGTCTGTACGTTAAGGATTTGCACATAGCACTGGAGCTATAGAGGTTTAAAGGTTTGCAGCACAGGACACAAAACTATCACGAGTATAAAAGTAGGAAGTAGGCCTAAATCCATTGCAGTTTAGAACAATTACAAATCTTTGTGTGGGAAGTTAAAAAAGTCGTTTAACAATCTTTTATTTATTTAGGCTATTAATCTTATTTATGCACAGAGCATCAACAGAGAGGCCGAGGGAAGGAAGGAGTGAGAGACACTTTGTCAGCGTTATGTACGTCATATGAAACATCTGTGTTGTTGCTGCAGTTTTTAAACACATCTGTCACCTGTATCCAGGCGCTGTCTCAATGTCACAAAATAGACTACAACTACCAAGAAGAACAGCGAGACACTATGATCAACCTCACACACAAACTAGCAGCACAGCTCTGGATTGCACATGTGCTCATTTATCTGACAGACTGATTTAGCGGAGCAAGTGCAACATATAGACCGATGTCACACTGTAGACTAATTAACAGCAGATTAAACAAAGGAGCAGCTCTGTGTCTCTCTGAGTGTTGCTGGAGAACTTGTGACTGAGAGAGCAGAGCTGCGTGGAGAGTGAGAGAGGAGAGATGCACACTGGTGTGCATTATGTAACACGACTTGACCCTATATCGATATAAATGGTGTTGTCTAAATTTATATCTTGCTTGAAAATATATTGATATATTGTAAAAACTTGATATACCGGCCAGCCCTATTTTGGAGTTAGATGTGAATCCAATATTCACTCTCTTTTAGCTCTATTTTTGGTCCCTACCACCTCCTGAGGGAAGTATAGGGCTCTTTGCACCTCATTTCCACAGAGTTTGTTTTGTGCCTGTATTTCCATATAGCATACGCAGTACGCCCCTTGTGTTCAATGCAAGGAAATGCACTTCTTTACAGATCCATAGAAATGCCACTGTTGAAATTGAGGAAAAGTTCTGAGTGTTTTTCACCATCTAGTTCAGAGCCAATACAGGACCAATAATGCATGCTGACATATTAGTGAGGGGGTTGGCCTCTCAGGTGTGTGGCCAGTTTTGTGAAATATTTTGTTAAAAGATGTATAATCCACTATGCATGCACTATATATATTACACAGCTAACATGCTACAAGTGTTAGCTGGCTAAACATGCCATTAAACTTTTCACTTAGCAAAAATGTACAAGTACAGCTTTATAACATTCATCAGTCTGTTAGCTAACTCCTCTTTCATGCTAACTTCCTGCAGCACAGTGCGTACATTGTGTCTAAAATCTGCTACAAAAGTTCAGTTTTTTTTAAACTTACTCGATGAAATGGACTGAAAAAAATAAATTGGTGATTATGTAGATTCTAATAGGGATGAATGCCCTTCGGGTTAACTAGCATAAGTAAACAGAGCTATGTGGAAACAAGGCAGTAGCAGCTGAATGCTCCACTGTGTTCACCAGCTAATTGCTAACTGTGTCTGTCTGCCGTTTGGTGCTGAGCAGATAGTTTACAGTTGGTTTTAAGAGCTTTTAAATTGAAAACAGCTGCGTGCTGCAGCCACAAACAACACTGTAAGAGTGATGAGAGTGAAGGAAAACGGTGGCCTAAATTTGGGACCGTACATCTATACAATGAGCTGAAAATCTGAGGGGAGCTGCACAGACAGGTGATAATTCTTTGTGGGTTCATCATTATAAGGCGACTTCTTTCACGTTATCATCTGATATACTGTTATTATATAATATCGATTATAGAGATCATCAAGTAAAGTGGGGACACTGACAAGATTTGATAATGAAGTTGATGCAAAATTAAGGATAATGTGATTGTCAGGCCTGTGGCCCTGATACATTAATTTAAATTTTGTAATTTTCTGCATGTTCAGGCTGGCCTTTTCTTTCAGTCAGCAGTTGCAAAACACTGCAATACAATAAAAGCCAAGCGTTACTCCACTGAGCTCACACAGCCAAAACAAACACAATATACCTGCTGGCATGAATTTTCAAACACCCAAATCCTCTGATGTAGAGAGAAGGAATTTCAGAGAGTTCATTCTTCTGCCTCCTCCTGTCATAAATACAGCAGCAGCCATGTTGAATGTGCTCTCCCCTCGTTGACAAGCAGACAGCGGTGTGTACCTGAGCAGCATCATAAGCTCCAAGCCATTTCAGGGATCTTTTGAAGTTACTTAAAAATTGAAAAGGATCATATTTGCTCAACGAGGCTGTAACATTTCAAAAGCTTCTCAATGCAATATATGACAAGAAGTTCAGACTTCTTTTGGCAGTATTCAAAGGACACGACTGATGTGTAATTTGCATTTGTTAGTATCCCACAATCCACTGCTCCCCAGGCCATATAGTTTAATGATACATTCAGGCAGTCCTCATCTCCCATATCATTACATTACCTATTTTCCAGAGATTGCCTTCAGGTGATAAATGTGTTGATAAATATGAACTGAATGAAGTACTGTAAAAAGACGCTGCAGAATGCACGCACAATAGAAGCAAAGTGTATAAACTATACAGTTTATTCGTGTCAAGAGGCTTGGTGATATAGCAGAGCTTCACAGATAAGCAGAGGTTATATGGATTTACTAGTAAATGGGTATAAGATGTGGCTTTGTTTTTATTCTGTCTTAAATTGAAACACTGAAGGTTATCCTGTAAAATATGTATTCACAAAACTGCAAGTCGATCAAGTGGGCCACATTTACTGTTGACATTTACCACCGTTTAAACCACTGGAGGGAAAATCACTGGAAATGTTTGACTTTACGAGTCGATGAGGAACACCTGGGGAGACGAGGCGCGCGTTCAGCCAGGCCCCCAGGTCCTCTGAAGAATCCACCTTCATGAGTCACGTCCTTCAAAGTATCTTCAAAGTACCAGAATCGGCACACAGCTTGAGTGTAACAGAAACTCTGAATACAGTGTTTGTACAAAGCACTGAAACAAATAATAATTCTAACCAACAACCATGGCTTGATTTTTTGCTTCAGGCAAAGCATCCACAACAAAAACATTGATTTGTTCCTCTAAGGAACAGTTAGCCCCTAATTAAAAAACATTTATTTTCCATCTTACCTGTAGTGCTGTTTATCAGTCTCGATTGTTATGGTGTCAGATGCTGAGTGTAATAATGGAACTAGATGGCACTCGGCTTGTGGCGCTCAAAGCGCCAAGAAATATATTTGAAAAACTCAACAGCAATGTCTCTTTCCTGAAATCATGACCTGGTTACTCAAGATAATCCACAGACCTTGCTGTGAGCAGTTTCATGTAGGAACTATTTTCTTTTTACCAAACTACTCCAGCCAACTGTATCGCCATGCAGAAGGGTGTGTGCATCTACTCAAGAGGCTCATGCTTGTGACAGCACAAGATGTAAATATTAATGGTGTTGTAGCGACGATCAATAAAAAAAAAAGCTGCTAAGAGGCTGAGTCTGGCTCTTAACTGTGACTCGTCGAAAGAAATCCATGTTGAAGTCCAACATTGGATTTTTATGATCATTTATTTAACAAAAAACTGGATAATGAAAGCAAAATGACATTACGGTCAACTGAAAATATCAGAGCCTCTTTGTCTAACGAAAACCATCACGCCAGTGAAACAACAGGTAACATAATGTGAAACCACACCTTTGGCTCCTACAGGTGCCCTCCTCAGCTGAGCTGTAACATTAGCTAGCTCAGTGGTGCTGGGTGAGGCAGCAGTAGGTGAACGCTAGATTCTGCCCTGTGATTTAGTTGGTGTAGTTCAGTAGAAAAAAAGTGAAACTGCTCACAAGGTCTGCGGATTATCTTCAGTAAGGCCCCAATCACATAGAAAGCATTTTAGCAGCTGGAGGCGGCTTTTTGTAATCGTTTTTAAAAAGTACTAAGATTTTTGCTCGCTGTTTTTGTGTTGCTACGCACCTCACGTTTCTGCCGAAGTGCTCTGAACTCCTTGAGTTGAAAAAACTTCCCCATGTCGTCTCTGCTTTTTTCCCGTTGTCCAATGGGATGATTTGAGAGGTGGGCCTTCTGTGATGGTCACGACAACAAGTTTACAATTGGTAAACAATGGAGGAGAAACTGGTGGTAGCGGTTGCTCTGAGTATCCAGAGCAAAGATTGACAGCGGGTTGTCAAACTGCCCCTGAGTCATCCTAAAATGTGCCTGGAAACAGCCATCATGGAGGCGAAGCTCCTGGACCAACTGGTGGTACTTCCCATGATCCACCCTCTCTTTAAGGGTCTCATGTACCCACACAGATCTGCGTAATGCTGTGCTCGAAAAATTATTTGCTGACAGCCTCTCACCCTCAACCAGAGCTACAGCAAGTACCCTCTGCCTCAACATTTTAATAACCAGCTACTAATTACTGTGAAATAAATCAAATAAATAAATGGTAGATTGATTACACGGGAAGATAAGGGTTAGGAGGCGATGGCGTGGTTGCCTGGCAACAATGGAAAGGCACAGTTTTTATTTTATTTTTTGTTTAGCATTTTTTTACTTGCAACCTGCAAAATGCTTTCTGTGTGATCGGGGCCTAATCAGGTCATGATCTCTGGAAAGAGACATTGCTGTTGAATTTTTCAAATGTATTTTTTTGGCACTTTGAGCACCACAAGCTGAGTGCCATCTAGTTCCATTATATTCAAGAGAAGGTACACATCCCCACAGCCGATATCTCCAACACTCAGCAACTCACACCAAAACAATCTAGACTGATAAACAGCACTACAGGTAAAAGGAAAAATATGTAGTTTTAATTTTAGGGTTAAACTGTCCCTTTAAGCTCTGGAAATTGCCTCCTTGCCTGCCTTCCCCCTGCTGGATTCCAGACAGGCTTGATCTGTTTTCCTCCCGCCAATCAGATACATAAGAAAGACTCTCTGGGGACCCAGCTAGCTGACACAGAATAAACATATTATAATTCTCACAATGAGACGAGTGGAGCCTCACTTGTATACCAGGGGAATTCATCTCCATTAAAAGGCCTGCATGAGGTTTCATTAATCAGCTCCACTACAGTATAAGACACCAGAGATGTCTAAAAGTATGCCAAAGCTATTATTCTTTTGCCTAGCACAGACAGAATGTAAGGAACTTGTGTAATTACACGAGCTACTATTAGAGATATTGATTGATATTATCCTGGGGTTTTCATCAGCGCACTTAGTTTGTAAAGCATGGCGGTATTGATCAGACATACTGCACATGTGGGAGGAGGAACATAACTGCACAGGCTCCTTTTATATCTTGTTACTAGTACAGAGATTTAATTTGCAGAGAATTAGCTGTACACTGTTTTTCATTAGGCCTGGGCAAAATGACTGAACTCAATATCCCAATATTAATAGGCGTATTTACTCTAGAGCTGAAAAGAGCAACAGCAAAGACTGAATCAATTAAGTCAATGTTGAAGCAAAATTGGCAAACATCTTATAGTTAGGTCATTTACTAAGGCTGCTTTCTTTGTCCTATGATAAAGTAAACTGAATGCTTTTGGGTTTTGGGACTGTTGCTTAGGCAAAATGTGCAATTTGATTACATCACCTTGGGTCTTAAAATGAATTTTTCAGTATTCTCTGACATTTTATGGACCAAAAGAATAATCACTTGAATGTGCAATATGTAATTTTCTGCTGCTCAGGGTATCTCAGTCAAAACAAGAACAAAAGACAGAGAAATGGCGTCACTGCAGTCAGTTCGACTGGTTAGGATTCTTTCAGTGTTCATTGTTCAGGAGCTGAATTATCCACAGAGGTCTCCTGCTCTCCAGCCCAGATGATTAAAACCAGTAAAAATGCTGATTAAAGCAGTTTCACATTACAAATCAGTGTTTCTCCAATGCTGTCGAGCATGGCAGGAGCTAGGGCTGAGCTGCTGTTAACGTTTGCTCAGCTTGTTTCTCTAGTAATTTAAGATTCAGACGTCTAGTGACTAAAATCCTTCATTCTTCATCCTTCATGTAGTTAAAAACGACCATGATCTAAAAGATATGTTGTAACAATGTGGCTTTAAACTGGATAAAAAGTCAATTCATGACAGCTTCTGGCAGACAACGTAAATGGGATGTGATGCCACTGACAGGCGATAGCGACAAAGTGACACGTGACATATGACTTGATTTAAATTACAGATTTTTTTTAGTTAGAAGACTGTTGCAACGTTTGGGACAATCTAAGTACACAGCTCAACAAAATATACAACACTGATCAAGTCATTTTTGGGACATTTTACCACAGAAAGTTACATATTATATCATTAATGGAGAAAATCACAGCCCGATTATTTAATTATGAACGTATGTTGCAGTCCTGTGTCATTCTAATATTAATATATACATGATACACTTGATACATGTATGCAAAACACAAATTTTAATGACTACTGTAAAACTTCAATTAAACGCCCAGTCCCTTTTACTAGCCCGGTGTGGCTCCACATTTTGACAAGTAGAGGCCTGTCTCAATTAGAAGCCTGGTCTGGTTATCAAGCAGTACTTTTTTTTTTTTTTTTTTTTTTAATAGAGGTTCTTCGGATGTATACATACATTTCAAATTTTGGAGCATTAAAAGCACACTAAAGCTCAAAGCTTATTTCCATGTTGGAGTAAGAATATAATACAAGAATACAGTAACATATCTTTGCGTCAGGCAGGACAGGTTAAAACATACCAAACAGACTAGTGTTGTTGTGATGCTGGAATTTATAACTTTGATTTAACACCTTGAAAAATATTGATATTTGATACCATGGGGAACAACTAACATTGAAGGCATACAAGTAAAACTTTGAAAATACTAAAGCAGACAAACAGAACAGCTGGTAAAGTAATCAGGGACTGTGTTCTTCAAATGATGTGTGCGGGGAGGTAATTTGGGTCCAACTCTACTAAGCCCATTTTAATCAGTCTGAAGCTTGTTTTTGAGGGCGGCACCCCAGTCGAAGTGGCACTTGTGCCCCAGTAAATTTAAGGTTGCACTACCCAGCAGGGCTGCTTTCCTGGGCAAGAATTTAGTCTTGACAAGTTGAGTGCTCTCAGTGCCGTGGTCACCCCTGAGAGCTTATATCAAAAAAACAAACCTGAATGATTAACAGTAGTTTGTGGTGCAATTACTGTCTGACCTTGCTAACTAAATATTTTTCTGACTGTGATGTTGACACCCAGGAGGATTGCCCTCAGTTTTCATTTATTATCAGAGAGCCATGTTGTGATACGCTGCAGCTCGGCACTTTATCACTGTCCTGAGAAAACTACACACCTCCAAAACATCAGCTTTTTGTGAGCCAAAAAAAACAGCCCTGTTTTCAACTATTCCAATGGATTCTAATGTGGGTTATTTAGATTTAAAAGTAGGGGCATTTTCTCAACCCATTAAGGACATCTAAAAGGTAACTTTGGCATTTTTCAAGGGATGAAGGCTGCATGAATACATATCCATTGTCAATTTACTGTCTAAAAGTACTTGGTGTTGCCACTGACAGGCTCAAATTGTTATTATAAGCATCTGACAACATTTTGGAATGGATCCCTACAAAGATAGATCTTCTTGTTAAAGAGTGAGATCCTTTTTGTTTAACCTGAAATAGCCCTAAAACTGCTGTTGCCAAACCCACCAGAATCCATTAAATTAAACAGTAATTTTAGCGTATATACAGCCAGCATATCTTCACATCTAACTGGGGGTATTAAGGGTTTCAGAGTAACATTGATGATTGGTGATTGGTGATTGTTGGAACAGTGGAAAACTAAAACAAGATGGCTGTAGCAAGTAGAAGTAGAGGCTGAGTAGGCTCATAACTGTGACACGTTCAAAGAAATTCATACTGAAGTCCAGAGATGTGTTTTATGGTGGTTTATCAAACAAAATCTAGATAACGAAAGCAAAACTAGATGAAGTATTATGTCTTGTTATATTATGGCCAACAGAAAATATCAGAGCCAAAAACTCACTTCATTTTAATGGAGTGGCAATAGCGATCTTGGGCTGTATCTGGTTAAACAACAAGGATCTTGCTTTTTAATAAAAAGGTCGACCTTTGTAGGGATCCTTTCCAGTGTTGTCAGACACTTATAATAACAATCTGAGTCTGTCAGTGGCAAAAACAAGCACTTTTAGTGGATGTAAATTGACAGTGCACATATGTCCTGAGTGCTTACATTGCAGCTTCCCTCTCTCTCATCACTAAACCAATTTAATAAAAATGTTCCCATTTGTCATTTAGATACAAAAACATTTAAAAACAGGGGCCAGGTTTAAAATACTGAAGTTACCTTGTAATGCTAAAAAAATAGACAATCACCAAATTTAGAGATACATGGTTTTCACTTAACAGCAACAAATGTTCTGCCTGTGAATATTAATGTGATGTAATCAGTGCAGCAAGCACAAGTCGGCATGAAATAGAGGTTACAGAAGCAGGTAGAACTCAGTAATGTGTCATTTTAAAAAATAATGATCCACGACACTCAGCGGGGAGACACTGCAAATTATAGATTTAGGACAACAAAGCATCCCATCAACATCCACTGTATGAAAACTACCTGTAAAATAGGATAGGACCCTTTGATGGCTGCCTTACTGATGACTGCTTTATGACCACAGGATAAAATACGCTGCAGTAAAGCTGCGCACTGGATAGCAAGCCTTATTTCCCCTGCTGTATATTCACGATGTGTTGCTCTGTCCTCCAGCTCTCCTTGCCAGAACGGAGGCACATGCACGGCTGCCGGTGGCTCAGCAAGTTACTCTGCCTGTTTATGTCCCCCCGGGTTTTCTGGAGACTTCTGTGAGATTGGCGTTGACAGCTGCCAGCCTAACCCCTGCCTCAACGGTGGCAACTGTACAAACCACGGCCTGGCCTTTACATGTGTGTGTCCGCTCGGCTTCACTGGGTTCACTTGTAATGACACCACCAGCCTCTCGCCCTGCGCTGGCAGGCCCTGTGCCAACAGGGGCACTTGTGTTGGTCAGCCTGATGGAACCTTCCGTTGCATTTGCCAGAAATGGTTTACAGGTTCCACTTGTTCCCTGCAGCACAGGCCAAAGGCCAAGTCCAAGCCAGTCGGAGCCAGGCCAGTGGACCACAGAATGTTTGCGCTGACTCCGCAGCACTACTCCCTCCCTGCTCACACCTTCCACAAGCTCCTCAGACCGCCCGAGAGAGACCTGCTCAAAATCACCCTTAAGGATACAGTCCACTCCCCTGGCGTCCTCGTCACCCATGGTCAGCTCGTCTGCTTCGGCATGCTGGCCCTGCTTACTTGCGTGGTCATCCTGGGCACTACCGGCATTGTGTTTTTTGGCCGCTGTGAGACGTGGCTGGCCAACGCCAAGTACAGCCAGCTTGTTCGGCAGCAAAGGGAACACCTGCTGCGAGAAGCCGGCGGCCCGAGCCAGGAGGAGCCGGAGCATTCAGTAAACATCATCCTGCCGGAGAAGATTAGACTCACCAGCTTTGGGAGACACTACACCTCCATCTGATTTAATCGTCTCTGTCTCATCCCCTTTCCCTCTGGAAGGAGTTTAATAGAAATGTCGAAAACTGGCACTGAGGAAATACTATGACTGTTGTACAGTTGTGTTAATAAAGTGAAGCATACTGGGCTGCACTGGAATATATTTGAATGTAAAGTCTACTGGACTAAGTGGACGACCAAGACACTGGATTGTAAATGTACTTTTTATTGAACTGCATAAAACTACCCGTTAAAATGTATGAAACCATAAAAGATGTTCTGCCTTTATGGCTGGTAAAAAGATGTACTCCTTTAGATTTTTGACTTCACATGGTTCAAGCACTTTGTTACATGTTGATTCAACCCTGTGTCCTAGAAATTCTGTCTGTATGTTATAAAACTGCTTTCTTAAATGCATTGTTGTGGCAACATAATTGCTGCCTGGATTATATTCAGAGATGTTTCTTTAATAATAAAACACTATATTCGTGTACAGCGTAGGCTTCAGAAAGAGGTGGTTGGGGTTACAAAGTGCAGGACCTTGACCCCAGTAGTGATGGGCAAAGCAGTTCTTTAGCTGTTACTGAATCACTAGAATCAGTTCATTAAAAAGATTTGTTCAAAAGATTTGTTCACCAAATCATTCAGTGCTTGGCGGGAGGAGTGTACCGCGTAGTCCGACACACTGAACTGATACACGGGTGAGTCTCATTACTGGCCAGCCAAACGTTTTAAGTTTGTTTATCTGGAAACTAAAGCCCTATCCGATGGGATTATTTTTATATAGGGACGTGGGGTAAAGTAATAATTACCAGAGATTTTAGTCCTGTCCGAATGTGCCATGTCAGTAATCATTACCGCACGATGTCAGTAAAGATTACCGCGACTTTTACCTCCTGTAAAAGGGTCCCGGACAATTACCCCAGGTAATACTAATCCCGTGCAATAGACCAGCAGTAAATATGTGTGTTAGGGCTGTCAAAAAAAATAAAAGTTAGAAATATATTCGAATATATATATATATATATATTTTATAAGTTCAAACCTAAATTTGATCATTCGAATATCATTAATAATTAATTAATACTATCAATGATGTTGTATATCACGGCGAATCCCGTTCACAAGCCAGGCCAGAGAGGGACGCAGAGATGGAGGAAGAGGCGCCGACGGAGGAGCCCGCTGCACCAACACCACCCACCGCGCTGTCCGCGATGTGTGACCTGTTCGGGGAGACATACAGGGAGAGTGTTGCACCTGCTGCCTCCCTGCCTACCCTTTTTGAAGAAGAGATGAAACGTTACCAGAATGAGACACCACTACGAGCCGACCAGGATCCACTCTTGTGGTGGAAAACTACGCACTGAAGTATCCAAACATTGCTCAGATAGCAAGGCAGAAGTTGATCATACCTGGCACTTCAGTGAGGTCAGAACGGGTGTTTTCATCCGAGTGTCACGTTCATATTGCAATAAGCATCTTATTTTTTGTGGGTTTTTTTTGTAAAAATAATAATAATAATAATAATAATAATAATAATAATAATAATAATAGTCTACTAATACTAATAATAATACATTCTAATATTATTCGAACTCTACTAAATTAATTTGCAAATATTCGAACTCAATTTCCTGGTGCTTTTGACAGTCCTATCATACACACATGAAGGCAGGAGGGGACAGCGGTGCGTGAATGGATTTACCCCTCCCACTTGTGGTAGTTTTACTGATATTTCTTATCCCGTGCGAATCGGCCATTAATATTACCAACGTCCTGTGGTAAAGTGACATTACCCCATGTGCCCATGTAAAACTAATCCCGTCCGAATAGTGCTTAAGTCTGTTAAAACAATGGGGAGTTGGGTGACTGTGTCCATGTGGCTTGACTCCTGGCTACATTAGCCATTAGCTTGTAGAAAACGGTCCCTATGAAAGTGTATCGCTGAGAAGAAATGATTCGAATCTCTCAGGGTTTGGGGTTATGTCATTCACAGAGTGATTCGTCACACGTTAGGCAGTCCCTCCCTGCACCCTGGCTGCCTCGCGACTCGCGAGTGATTCATCGTTCGCACGGACCGAATCAGCAGTTCCACTCCCGGCCTGCATGCTCGCTGCTGAGCTCAACTGAACTGAGAAATGAACAAATCAGTTCCGGAAGTGATTCAGTTCAGTACGTTCACTCAACAGATTTGTTCTTTTGAACGATTCATTCACGAACGACCCAACACTAGACCCCAGAACTTCAGGTTCACGTCCAGTCTCTTGTCTGAGGTTTAGGCAACAACAGCACTTTGGTTAAGGTTTGAAACAGATCATGATTTTGCTTAAATGTTAATAAAAACAGTACTAAAAAAATAATGCTGTATTGCAAGATCTGCTGTAAAACAACTAAAATATGTCAGTGAGCACTTTGCTAATACGTTCAGTATCAACATTATAGCAACATTTTCTCATTATGCTGAAAGAAAGCATAATTCATAACATGCTGTTTCAAATTAGTTGTATAGAAACATATTTTAGGAGACAGGGCTGGTTGATTTGGAACACAAAAGTGGTGTTAATATTACAAGATGAGAAATGGAATTGATTTTAAAAGGAGCTAGACCACTTTTCTTTTGGTATTTAATGTATTTGTGTCATTGATTTTTAATCTGTTAACAAATTGTTCTCTGATATTGTGACCATGACTCAAGCTGTGATGATTAAGGAGGACTCAATCAGCAGATAATTAATGTTTTTTTAATAATTTATATATTATTTTAGTCATTTTAGTCAACGTTTTTTGATGTCAGCTTCTCAAATGTGGTCAAATGAGAGGATTTGATGGGGTTTTTTGTCCTATTTAATTTAAAAAATGGACTGTTTGTTGAATAAGATATCAAAATAGTTCACTTTAGGCGGCTATGGGATATTATGATGGGCATTTTTTTTTTAAAACCATTTTCTTTTTTTAATTTGCATTTTTGAAGATTATTTAACATATGTAGAGACCAAAAAGTAAGGTAAAAGGTAAAAAAAACTACATAAAACATAATCAAACAAAAGCGTATACTATTTTCTAATGAGAAATTAATCAGTTGATTAATCGTTAATTGCAGCCCTAACCATTTCCATGCAGCATATTGTGAATTTCCCATTTTATAATTAATGCAGAATTAAATATTGTGAGTTTGTACAGTATGTGCAGTTAAAATGTGTACTTACATACATGCCACCCAAACAGCTGTACTGTCAGCTCTACAGAGACGGATCATGTTCATGTAAAGGTATTATTGTGCAGTATGAACCTGGAGGTTTTATTTTGCTAATGCCATCCAGTTATCTCTCTGCTGATGTATCACGTTAGATGTTAAAGATATATAGATGTTATTAAGACACGGGTTATTTCAAAGTTCCCCCAGGAATGCCACTTTCTATTTCCATCATCATCTACCTGTATCCATGCCTTGAATATCTTTACACTTTCAATTATTGATCAGTCTCAAACTCATTTTCAGTTTATCCGGGGGTTGTTAGATTTTCCAACGTTGCTTCATAGTGTCAGCGTTGGAATTTCGCAGGTCTCAGAGTCCAGAAATCAATACTGTTGCATTTGTGAAATGTTAATGGTTTGCCTAGTCATGCATGAGATGGACACCCGCTCCTGATGAAGGGAGAAGTGCTTTTGTGAATACTGAATGTATGGAAGATGAGAAAAACATTATGCCTGTCACCCAGTGAAGATGTAGTTAGACATTTGGAGCATATTTAATGTAAAATATTCAAATTAATCAACTGAGGATTACTGTGGTGTTAGAGTGGGAGAGTTTCTGCTCTTCACTCTCACAGTAAGTCCCCTTCAGCCCTCATTCAGCCTGTGAGGAGATGCTGTTAATATGCTGCGTTGTGTCTGTCTCAGTTCTCTGATACGGTGGTTATCTTGTGCTCACACCACAACAGTAACATTTGGGATTGTGTATTACAATGTTTAGTCGTAAAATTTTAATGATTTACATGTGGCATTTCTACAGGGGGGAGGTGACTGTAACCGTGCAGTACTTATCAGTATTTGTTCCAGTCTGGGATTATTATGTGCTGTTGTGCTTTGGCCAGATAATGTTTTGTTGTCTGTTCACTGCTTTTAATAAAATATATACAATCTGATTTTATCTGTTTTGTCCTGTTCAGGTCTTTAAAACCAGAAGATTCATACTGAGTCTATCTCTTTGACCTGCTCTTGACACAACAAGGAGGTTAACACAAGATCAGATGCTTGGCAAGGCTCCGACTGTACGTCAGCTGTTTCACAGTATGAGATGCAACTCATGCACACACTGTGTGAACCACCGCCTCCCTGTTCTGAAATCAGCCGAACATCTGCTCTGCTGCTCCAAGATGCTTAATAAATTTCTCCCCAGGGCCGACTCACTGGTTATTAACTGGCTAATAACAATGACTCTGTGAGAACTCCTCCTCCGTCCCTGGTGGAGTCACAGATTCAGATAGCAGTCTCTGTCTCCACCTTGTGGTGCAATTATCTGCATCAGCAGGACTGAAGCTGCAGTACGTCCATGTAGAAATACAGCTGAGGTTCAAAGTCAAGTCTATCTTTAAGATAAGATATCGTCAGTTGATTTATCCTATAAACCACTGGTTCCCACCTGGAGGTCCCGACCTGAAGTAGGGGTTGCCAAAGCTTCACTATAGATTACAAGGCTTTCTTGATATTAATATCTCAGGATTTCATCAGTTTCTTTGAAGAAACATAAATTAAATTGTTATTTTTAAAGTCAGTATTTATTCAAGATATAAACTTTAAAAATCCAACAGGATAAAGGCACGTCAAAGACCTGAACACAAGCCTTCGCTCTCTGCTAAACAGCCTTGTCCTGTTTTAGAGGAGGAATAATAATAACTTTATGTGTAGAGCACTTTTCGAGCTGAAAGCACAGTGCTTCCAAAGGTGCAGAAAATACAAATTAAAAGTGATACTAATAAAACATAAGCGTATACATACGCCTACACCAACATGTGCACTTAAACACCTGTAAGCATGCACACATTAACACATGGCTGCAAATACACACACTCCCATACACACAATAAGCTCATCAACTGTCAGAAAAGGTTAATCTAGTACACGGTTAAAACAACCAAAGTGCTATTAAGATAATAGTCAAGCGTCAGAGAGAAGGAAACACTGCATTTGTCAAAAAAGAAAACTATGTATGATTGTTTAAAAAAATGGATAATACAGAGAATCCTATAAAAAGTTCCCAAAAAACCCAGTCAAACCAATGTCTGAAGTAATATTCACAGGAAATCATCTGCTCAAAATTCATCCAATTCGCTCATATTACACAAATTTACTGCAGTTGTTGTGTTCACTATTTGGGTTACTTGTATAATTCATCAGTTGTTCTGTTGTCTGTTATG